CGAAGAGGAGAGGTCGTAGTAGAGAGGGTTCGAACTCGGGATAGAGGATTCCCAACCATGCTCACCCACCAATCACCCTAAGCCTCGTTGGGTCTTCTTTTCATTCTAGTTTTAAACAATCATGAACTATTATTTGAAGTTTGTAAAGACTTCATTCCTTTTTTCAACAGGTAATAACAAACCCTTCTTGAATAATCATCGATAATGGACAATAATTATCCATTACCTCAATTATAAAGCACATTGGATGGCCCCAACGAATAAAAGTGAACATAATCAAGGGCACCTCTGCTGTGATGAATTGAACTGGTGAATTCCTCTCCTAAGCTGAGCCTTGCCAAGTTCTCTTATAACATCAGGTGAAGCTGATCCCAAAACTGTACTTCAAACTAGGGGTGTCAATTTCGGGTCACGGTTCGGGTTTGGGTCGAACACGAAATTGACCAGGCACTATTCGGGTCAGTTCGAGTCATTATCGGGTTTCCGGGTCAACCCGAATCCGACACAGTTTTTCAAACCGGTCAGTTTTCCGGACCCAAACCCCACCCGCTTCGGGCTCGGGTCAACCCAAACCCAAAATTTTCGGGTCGGGTTTGGATCAGGTTCAATATTAACAGGTCTACTTCAAACCAGAGGTAACCTTGATTAGCTAATTTAGTTCTATTTGAACATAGTCAAAGCTTGGTGCCTTTCTTCCACATTTAAGAAAATCTATAAATTTTTATGAAGAATTTTAAATGGCATGTGAGGTAATTGCACTAAAAGCCAACTCGAGCATCTCAACATTTTGTTAGATTTGTTGGAAGATTACCTTTTGACGCCTATATGCTAAGACTTGTTTACATCCTTCTTCAATGGAGATCAAAACCTCCAAATCCATCAAATTGTTCCACCTTAAACGTAATAAACCTCCATCGATACAAATATTATTTATAACTCAAGCTCTCGTGCTGGTTATATTATAAAGAGTTTAATTCCAAATTAATTAAAGGTTGTTTGATTTGAAGTAAAAATAGGTCTAAAACATTCTAAATTCAAGAATTTTGAATATATTTATGTTTGGTTTGGAGTAAAAGAAAATGAAGAGTAAAATTTTGAATTATTTAGAATTCACCCACTAGTTCAATTTTGGTGCATTTGAAAATCGTTAGAATTGACCAAGTTCTAAATACATTATAATTTTGATTTTCATTGCTGCCTCAGCTACCGGCCGTTGTTGTCATAGGAGGATCCACATTGATGTTAGATCCTCAAAATGTATTAGTGGAGGTCGTTTTGGTATTTTGCCCTGCCCCAAAAACACTTTTTTGCCCTAATTTTATCATCCCAAGTTTTCTTGCCCATCCACAAGTTTGCATCCCGTAAGATTATTAAGCATCGGCAGCGTGGCAAAATGGATGATGTTTGACTCAATGACTATCTAGTGTCATATATTGAGAAAGAAGTATTTGATTATATTTCAAATGAAGTCATTATGCAACATTATCATAAAATGTAAAATAGAATGCAAAGTTTATAATTTTTCTTTATTTCATAAATTATAATGAAATACAATACTTCACTTAAAATTTTGATAATGAAATACATACATATTTTTTTATATTTACTTTTTTATATATAAAGTTTGTCCATCCTAAAAAAAAAAGATTGAATCCGCCCCTAACTGCTACCATAGCCACGTGGCGCCAGCCATTGACCATCTCAAGACAATTCACACTTGATGAGCATGACAACAATGGTTGAGCAATCAAATATATCAAGACACCAAACAAACACAAATTTTCATTATAAATCAATAGAATGAAACATTAATAAATCTGAAAAATCCTTGGCGGCCACTTGTTACAATTCAAGCCTAGCAACAAGAACAGTGAAGGTCAGCCCTCCAGCTAACCCTGCTCTGACAATTGGGATCCCTTAGATGGATAGGAACATATTAAAGCCTCTCTGAAGAAATTTCGGATTGTTAAAGCAGTTGCAGCCACCTATCAGATAATGGGAACATCATTGTCCAGCATTTAATTAAATATATATTAAACAGCCAATAATTCAAACTGATTTTGTCAAATTATGTTAGTGAAGGGAATTACCAACAAAACAGAGAGTTTTTAGATTGCAATTTGTAGGGCATTAAATAGTCTTACTAGGAGCAGGTCTAGTGTACTGTTATGATTATTTTTGTGTGCATTTTATATTAGAATATTTGTATAGAATATGTAAAGCAGGGAGTTTATAACTACGTAAATCAGAAATGCCTGACATCAAATGTTGTTTGGAAACAAATCAGAGTACGTCACGTCATTTTTTTATTGTGTTATGCAGCTATGTACCCCGCTATCTTGTTGTATATCATAGTTGTATATCCATTGTGTAGATGGTGACGTGACAAGCTCTAATTCGCCTCCAGACACAACTATATCTGACGTCTCCATAGAATAATTTATCCTCATGCTAAAATAGAGAAAATGTTAGAAGAAGCTTAGAAAGTTCATGTAATTATGTGTTGCACTCAAGTTCTTTATTCTAACTCAAATGTCAACATATTAAGACATCGTTTGAAATAACTTTTTTACATAGCAAATTTTTTGAACTAAAATTTTTTTTACATTAAATCTATTTTTAAAAACATTAAGAAAGTCGCCTAAGGCTTTTTTTAAGAAAGCTTTCTTAAAATTTCTTAAAATAAAATTTTAACATAAAAATTTTAATTTTACTAGAATTTTACTTTAAAAACAGTAAGAAAGTAAGTCACCACAAACGAGAGGCAGTAGCATCACTCATTTCTAAGGCAAATCCCATAGACTACAAGAAAAATTGATATTTATAAAATATTTCTTCCCACTCAACAACCAATACAAAATACAAAATTGTCGGCAGAATAATAAAAAAAATTTAGGCATGTTGCGTCCTGGAATATTCGCGGCGGTAGAGAAATATATAGTTTAACGTCTTAGCATTGTACGAAGATCCAGCACACAAGCAGATAAGAAGAGAGGGTCTAGCATTTATGAGACACCATAATTTTTGCATGACGTATCAAGGCAAGTAATAAATAGATTATCCTCGCAATGAATTATTAATTAGAAAATTCTCTACTTTAAACAAAAAATCGTTGCAACAACGAAAATAAATATAAATTTGTTTTTATCCATTCTTCTTCTGAATCAGGAGAATATTAGCTAATCAGATCGTATATGCTATGCTCTCTGCTAAATCATCATAAATCTCAGCTAAATAATACACATTGGTGATAGTAAATTCATAGACATACTCTTTTATTCCACCCATACAGAGAAGACTATCCAAAAAACAAAAAAACTGAGCACCAGAAAGGGATAGTTTATATTTACATACATAACATTTAAAATTATCCTATTTACATAGATAGCATCATCAGCACAAAAACAGTCTTAACATCTTTTAACAAGAAATTAACAGAACAAACTCCTTAAGAGATGAACGCCGGCGACCTCTTTCTCCGGCGGTCATGACGGGAAGATTTCTTGTCGCTGCCGCCGAAGCTGAATATGACCCAAGAGATGATGGAGAGCCAAGCAACGATCACGTAGTAGAGAGCTTCTCCTCCGTTGGCGCTTTCGGACTCTAATCCTTCAGTCTTCATGGCTCCAGGCGCGCTTCTGGCTGCTGCTGCTCTGTTTCTGTTTTATAGCTTTAGTAGATAAGTCTCCTTTGTATGCGGTGGTAAGGGGAGAAAGGAAAAGAGATATTTTTAATAATTGGCACTACTACGGTTTCAAAACTCTATAAAAATAATAATATCCTGATTGCTAACGTCAGAGTCTATATCTTCGTTACCAAGTTATTTAGCTTTGGCATGGAAGCCGTGTTCACACTGCACGCACGTGTTTGACTCAGTTTAGTTGCCGACTTGTATTATTTTTCTTTATAACGGAGAGATAGACAATGATTTAGGCCTCGTTGACGCGGCTTATTTTTTTCTTGTTCGTTTAACAACGAAGTCTATTACTGTTTGAATATGTCACTTATGTAGTTATGTGAAAATATTTTTTTGCAGAATCTTATTTTTTTACTGTTTTGAAAAAAATTTTGATATATGATTCTTCATTGGAGAACTTCATTTGCTCCAATAATATTTTTAAAATTACATTTTACAAAAGTTAAGGGATAACCAAATGAAACCATATTGGAAAATAAACGTATTTGAAAATAAATTAAAAATAAGTGATTTTGGAAGAAAAGAAAATGGTATAGGGGTAATAAAAAAGTTGTGAAGATATGATGTATCGTTACTCTCCTCAAAAAAACGTGCACTATTTGATATGTATCCAATACAACACGCTTCAAACACATGTCGAACACGTCGAAAATGTATCTGATTAAAAAATATTAAATACAAATTCAACATGCATGTCCAACATACGCAACTTATATATTTACAAAAACAATTGATATAAATTTCTTTATTTTAAATTTTTATTTGTTTAAAACATAAAAACTAAATTTCTTATTTTATATCCACAACACTAAATCATTCGTCCACAATCACTATCACATTCATCAAATATTCTCATTTTTATTTTTCTTTGGCAGGTCATGACTTTGATTTCATAGCAATATTTGATATCATTTCAACATTAGCGTCTGTTGTCATTACAATATCAACATTTCAACACCATACAAACATCAAAGTCTAACATTATCTTGACATTGATGCTCGACGCTAACAATTTCTATACTCACAACTTGACAAGAGATTATTCTGTACAAACACCGGAGGGAAAGAATCGTCCGATTTTGTCTCTATCAACAGTAAAAGCGCAGCATGAACATAAAAAATGCAGTTCACTGAACCCTAAACTCAGCCATAGCTTCATAATACTAACAGATAATTAAATGAATATGCCATTCTATGAAGAATGGCAAACTTCAGAGTTGAGCTTGGTTGAATGCAGATCTTCACAAATTATTCATCTACAAAATTTAGTACACAAGATTTGATGTTTAAATATAAATGGTGATGGTAGCAATAGTGTAATTTGAATAAACTAAAACCCTTTTTCTTAATTTCCTTTATACATTTCCATCGTAAGTAACAATCAGGTAAGTTTTGTTACAAATTTATTGTACTAAATGGCGTCTCCCTGTAATGATATATCAAAAAGAAACTACTAATGATTGCTCTATGATAAAAAACCATGAAGATGAAGAATTTGGGACTAAGGGGACTGGGTAGCAGCAAGCTTCTTCTTTGGAGGCGGGTTACCACCGGAGAATAGCACATAAAAGTAGAAGCAAAGCATTGCAACACTGCAATTTTCAAAAGAAACTACTAGTTATCTACTAGAATTTGAAGTAAATAAATTTCATGATAATAACATGAATTGGGGAATTTGGGGAAGGATTACCTCATGAAGACATAAAGCCCAGAAGGAAAGAGGTTCTTTGTCTGTTAAAGAGAGCGAATTATATTAACAACAGAAACCAGATAAAACAAGATAGAAGACAGGCTTAGTGTCACTTACCAAGGAATAAGACTGGAAATGTTTCACAAGGAGAGTAGCAGCAATGGCTGTAGTACAACCAAAGCTAAAGCAATTAGAATTTAGAAGATAAATTATTGAGATTCAAATAACCACTTCATAGAATTTCTGCATTACCAAACCTATCTAGAAGTTTATTAACGAAAATCATAGATGAAACAGCGAAGAATACCGTTTAAAACTAGCATTTGTTCGAAATGTAGGCAAATATCCATCACAGTCGCACTTGTGAAGGATCATTTTGATTGAAAAGTAAAAAAAAATCGGAATGGCAGATACATTTTAACTCGATGGTTCAGAAGATGTACTTCTTTTAATTTGGATAATAAATGATGATTATATTTTGCTACCTGCTTGTCCCAACACGAATGGTGAGCTGCTGAGGCCTTTTCTCCAGACCTTCAGGCTAATGGCCGCCAAGACCAATATACCAGCCCCTAGCAAGCTTGTAGTTAAACTTACTGAGTTTCTTGAAAAAAGGAAACCAAAAAGTCCTCCAGCAAACAAAAAACCACCTGAATTATATGTAATTAAGATGTTAATTACAGATTTATCCGTTGGTTAAGTAGAGTTCTTAAGAAAAATGGAATAAGGCAACCCCCTGGGGCGTACTGAAAGAAAAAAAAAATGTTTAGGAACAAGTTGCAGTAATTTATAAACAAAACAAATATGTAAATATATATCGAGGCAATCAATTTAATTAGAAACTAGTACAGTCAAAACAACAGTTGAAGCTTGCAAAAGCAGACAAGAATGGTCTAGATTTGTCACTAAATATAGAACAAATTATTTCCAAGACCAATTCCTTATTCAGTGGCTATTAATAGATTCCGAACATTTAAAACTAGTTGTCTTTTTTTCCCAAGAAATCATGTAGTTAGAAAAAGATTCTTCCTGGCACATTATGAAAAAAATTATAAATAAACGACTGACTAATAATAAAACTTTAATTTTTTTTTAAAGCGGATGATTACATGCCAGAAGGTACAGATGAAAGAAGTATGTCTATCTTAATCTTCAATCGGCCACAAGAAACAACCATTCATGAAAATTCCACGAGGATCAAACAGTAAGGAAAAACTGACATTCATTCAAGCGAATCAAAATCCATCATTATAAATAGCGAAAGGGTATAAATTATTTTCTCAACAAGTATGAAACCAAGAAGGGGATTGGATAAGAAATGCTTGCATAAATTTAGGAAAAGCCTTAGCTGAAATCTGATTTCAACAATTTTAGAAAACAAACAACAAAAAAATCATGAATTACACTTTTTTTATTGAAAGTTTTATGAAAGAAAGACAAGATACAAGTGGATTTTCAATTTGAGAAAAATATATGCTCTCCAAAATCTCTAGCCGCCAGATAGAGCACAAACACCCTAAGAACAATCTAAATTCAGCAAATAACGCATACCCCTAACCCTACGAAAATCACATACTTAACGCATACCCCCCCAAAAAAGCACATTGTCCTCAAGGTGGAAAGATAAAAATTGGTTGAGGAACACCTTATCTCTATTGGGGGGGGGACTGCCCAGCCCCAAATCTCATACCTCCACTAGGCTCTGCAGCTCCACTAAATAGTACAACCCTGCTCCTTGTATCATCTTGACCAAAGTTTTGAGTGAAACCATAGTTTCAGACAAGCTATGATCCCCTCTAGTAATCACTTTTCTTCCTTCAACCTTGAACTCCATCGTTAGCGTCTGCCAATCAATCTTGATCTTTCACAACTTCTATAGTCATTTCATTCCCAGGATGACATCAATGCTCTCTAACTCCAATGGGAGAAATGCCTTTCTCACCTGAACTCCTTGTATGGTCAAAACTACCCCCCTATACACTCCTCTGCCTGTCTAACACGTCATCACCCCATAGCACCCTGTGTCCACCAGTTTCACACCGAATTGGTCTACGACCTAGTTAGAGATGAAGTTGTGGGTAGCCCCACTATCTACCAACGCCACTACCTCTCTATCTGTTGTTTCTCCTCTCACTGTCATGGTGCGATTCAGAGTGAATCCCACCACTGAGTTCAAGGAGACCTACATGTCTAAATGTAGTTGTCCCCCCTCCACCGATGTTCACTCCCACATCACTCCTTAGCTTCCTCGTCATCACAGACGGTGAGAACCTGAAAAGTTTGATCCTTACACTTGTGCCCCGGTGTACACCTATCATTACAACTACAATATAACATTTTTGCCGCCTATCTTGCATCTCCGTTTGTGTAAGGCACTTAAAGTTGTCTCCAGGGCGAACTCCAGTGCCCTTCTCCTTCGGTGCTTCCCTTTGAAACGACATCGTCTGATTCTTGGTGCCAGGGTCGTAGAGGTACTCTCGTAAGCCCTCTCATGATGTTGATCTTGATGGCCTTCTCCCTCCGAGATTTTTCCTCCACCTTATGAGCAAGCTCCATCATCTCTCTAAGCCCTCCTCTAAGTCTCAACACCTTAAACTCTGCTCGTATGTCCTCTCTAAGCCCCTTCATGAAATTCCCTTCCAACCCTTTCTCGAAAATTCCTCTCAGTCTTCCTAACAACAGCTCAAACTTCTCCCAAAACTCCATGACTGTCCTCTCTTGAGTTAGGGCATAGGAACTATTCATGGAGGTATCCTTCATGAATGGCTTGGAAATGCTCCAAAAAACACTCCTTCAATTTCCCCCATAAATAGACTGGATATCGAGCCTCCCTCCACTGAAACCAAACAAGGGCTTTTCCCTCCAAACATAGCCCTACCGCCATGAGTTTTTTTCGCTTTTGTTAGGACGTTGAACGCAAAGTAACACTCCACCAAATACACCCAACCCTAAGCATCTTCCCCTTCAAACACTGGCATCCTCAACTTTCTCGATTTCGCATCCAAACCCCAATGGCTTCTCCCTCCACTAATTCCTTCTATGTAATGATGGTGTGAATCTCTCCCTTCCTCCCTAGGCTGATTTGGGCCCCATGGCTCCGCCCAACCATGACCTCCTCCATTCTACTTAGCATATGATATTTGATGGTGTTGAAAAAATTCTACTTATGAGGGAGCTATGATTGATGAGGAGAGCTATCTTCTCAGCAAGAGATTGTTAGGACATATGAAAACATTGTGTTTAGTTCATATCATATATTTGAAAATATATATTAATATAGAGATACCAAGTGGTTAGTCTCACTCATAAGTTTAAGTTTTTAGATTGAAAATGAGTTTGATAACAAGTGTAGCAGACCCAATTTTGATCTACAGTACATACAAAAATAATGACTAGTGAACCTTCAAGAAAGCAAACATGACTATGACCAGATCAACTATAGTTATAAAAATTACATTCGCAAGAAAAAAATAATGTGATTTAATGCCAAATTCTCTAATTTCAGTTTATCCATCCAAAATTCCAAACCAAGATGATTGGATAGACTAAACGAAAGATACAAATACTATCACCATGGGAGAGAATCAGAAATCATAATACATGTAGTAGATAAACACTCACCATAGGGGATTCCCAAGCAAAAATCATGTAGTTTTGCATATCCTTTTTGTTCAATAGCACGCTCTTGATGTACATACAGATCTGCTCCTATTTTCTCATCACTCTGTTTTAGAGTCGAATGTGTCTTTATCGCTTCATCCACAAATTTCTCTGAATGACCTTCTGTGAATTTTAAAATAGTATTGTCCTCGTAACCTGGAGTTTTTCTGCTGCTTCCATTAAGGCGCATAGAAACAAATGTCTGGAAACAAAGAAATTTAATTATCAAGCTAATATGCTTAAATGAGTTTCAAAAGCAAAAAAATTTTTTTTTTTTTTTTTCATTTATTGTTTCAAGCAAAAAAAATTAGCTAGACAATGCTCATGATCTTTAATGCTTGATAGTGATCAGACAAACCCGAAAGCAGGTGAACTAATCTCATTGATAAACGAGAAGGGCCTTGATATACATGGCATTCATTGGCCTAATTTCTAGGTTGGATTGGTATCAAACCCCTTTCATCAGGTACAATCTAGGAAACTAGTTATTTGTACTAAAAAATAAAAAATAAAAATAAAAACCAGTTATTTGTACTAAAACAAAGGGGCATTATAGTTAATTGTTCATATATGATAGTTTGCTTATAATTTTGAGTGATCCATCCCACATGGTTGGGCTCTGTATGATAAAGGTTAGTTCAAAATTTGGCTTTGTATACTAGCTCTCACATGGAAGATTCAATGTCTGATACATGACACAGTTGATACAAATGGAAATAAAAGCTTTCTAATCTGGTGATGACTAGACAAGACATTATCGTAACAAAGAAATTGACAAGAAGCGTGAGAAAATGAGCAGTCCCACATTTAAATGATTGAACAATAAGCTGGGTTTTGATATACATGCAATTGGTCTTTACCTATTAGTTGAAGTTTTCAGCTGAATAAATTTGGATAGTGCTTTTGGGTGTAGATTGTGCTTTTGGACTTGCATTACCTTGGGTGTGCTAGTTTCTTTGGTGCCATGGCTTTTGGGCTGACTTGGTTCCTTGGTTTGGGCTTGGTTGTTTCGGGTTTTGCTGCCCAGTTGGGGAGCTGTTGTATTATGCTGCCTTATTCAACTCATTATTGTGAGTTGCTGCCTTTTTCAGCTCATTAATCTGCTGTCCGGGTTCATTCCCCCTCTGTTTCGGCCTTCCGGTTCTTCCCCCAGCCCGATCCCTTTCCCCCTGGCGTTGGTTGTTCGTTGGATGTGTCCTGTTGGCCTTTCGGGTGATGCTCCCTTCGGCTGCCTTTTGGCCTTCTACCTCCCCTTTGCTTATTGGATTCATTGGGCGGTTGTTTGGATTGTTGGGCTCCCTCTCCTCTCCTATATATAGTGGCTGATTTGTGACATTTTGAACTGTTTTTTGTGAGTGAAGATATCTAAAAATCTGAGGGTTTCTTCTTGGAAAGCTTGCGAGCTATTTCCAATTCTCTTCTCCTCTCTTTGATTTCATCTTGGGCTTCTTACCCACTTCTTCTCTCCACAAGTTTCCAACCCACTTGTATTTTTCTTCTCAAGCTCTTGAAAGAGTTGTTGGCTTGTTTGGTAGCATTTGCCGGAGGAGTCTTGTGGTGGACGTTGGCCCAAAGTTACTGTGGTGGACCTTTGGTTTGCATGTCTTTCAGCACTTATTATCTTCTACTATTTTGATGCATGTGAGGTGACCACTAGCTGGTTGTTCTGAGGGTAGTTTGTTTTATTTTTATTTTTGTTTTGTTTTGTCTAACTTTCGTTTGTTTTGATGTTTGTTTGGTGTTGATTTTCTATAATTTGAATTGAGAAAGTTCTACTAGTCATTGTGTTCTCTGTTTTGGTTTTTTTTCTATCTAGTTGTATGCATCAAGAACTGGCATTCCACCATATTTTAAATTGGGCAATGACATGAGTAGTTTCAAACTTAGTATGTTGGGAAAGACCAAGATATTATAAGAGTGATCATCCACATATACAAAATAGTAGTGATGGCCATACAAAGAGGCGGTTGGGGAAGGACTCCAAACGTTAAGAGTGAATTAACTCAAGAGAGATAGGTCTATGAGATTGCATAAAAATGAAGGGTAAATGATGATTCTTTGTTAAATAATAAGCATCATATGAGTGATTAGAAGAAGTAGTGCACATTGTAGAATTGCATTTAGCTAAAACAAAGAGTTGAGACATACGAGTGTTCGAGATGACCCCATAGGCCCCTGATGATTTAAGTGGATACCAAAGCGAACGGAGTTGTCGATGAGGTGGAGTTGTGTATTAGCCATGTTGCGTCCTGGAGTATTCGCGGCGGTAGAGAAATATTTAGTTTAACGTCTTAGTATTGTACGAAGATCCAGCACACAATCAGATAAGTGAGAGGGTGTAGCGTTCATAAGAGACACCAAAGTTTTTACGTGGAAGTATCAAGCCATATAGAGTAAAAGCCATTATGAGGTCCTTTAAGGAGTGGTATGTTGATCTTCAAGTCTAAAATGATATAGCCATTGGCATTAAATGTAATAGAGCATGGATTGTCATTTGCTAGGTTGTGAATTGAGAGTAAGTTATGGGAAAGAATGGGCACATAAGGTATTTTGAAGAGAATAAGCTTACTCATTGGGAAGGGAGGGATGGCATACAAGTGTTTTGTATTGACAACGAGTGACTATCACCAAGCACCACAAGCTGCAAGCCATGATAGGGTTTGGCATGATGAATGTTATTTGTTGTAGGATGGGACGTTGCCTCGATATCCAATATCCATTTAGATATTGACGATGAAATAGTGGAGATGAATGAGACTTTAGCCAATAGGGATAGAACAATCGACGAGGTACCATTACATGTTGGCTTATTATGATGCCATTAATTCATCACAGTGTCCTAGTTTCCCATATATTTGGCAATAAACTTATGATGGTTGGGGGTGTGCAGGGGATTAGCTTACTCGATATCTGGTGGAGTTTGTTCGACCCTATTTATAGACATGGAGTGTTGAAAATTCACAGCCAATTGAGATGGGCAAAGTATGAACACGACTGTGAGGACAGCTCTAGGTCTGGATGAAAGGAGGTGTTGAAGCTCCCGAGCGGCTTCACTTGCTAGTTACTTTCTTCGCTACACAAAAAAGAAGAACGAGTCATCCAAACTCATGGGTTAAAGGTGGGTTCATATGGTTGCTTTGAAGGCTTGAAAGGAGGGTGTGAGAACATTCAAGGTGTAGTGAATTATGTTTTCAACATCAGTAGATGATAGAGACAAGGGGAGAAAGGGAGAGAATGTGTGTGGAAAAGATTAGGAAAAGGATAGAAAGAAAAACTGCAAAACAAACAAAAGTGTTTGCATTATTACCACATCATTACACAACAAGATCTTGGATAAAAGGGGAGAAAAATCTCACTAGTTGGGAGAAAATAGAGTAATTTGTGTGTGTGTGTGTGTGTGAGAGAGAGAGAGAGAGAGAGAGAGGGATGGAGAGAGAGAGAGAGAGAGAGAGAGAGAGAGATGTGAGAGGGTGCCGTGGCACCGCTCTTCACCACCCACCTTCAATCATATCATCCCAATAAAATAAGGAAGGAGAGAAAGAAAAGGAAAAATTGGAAAAGATGAAGAGAGAGAGAGAGAGAGAGAGAGAGAGAGAGAGAGAGAGAGAGGAACATAGAGTTGAGTTTGGAGGCATCATACAACTATATCAAAAAAAAAAAAAGGGAAAGTTGTGGATTGGGGAGATGGAGGTGATGAAATGAGACCACCGGAGTGGGGAGGTAAACTCCATCAACACTTCTTGTTGAATCATAAACAGACAAGAGGTGCACATGGATAGAGTAAGGAAAGAAAAGAGGTTGAGGGAGATAGATGTTGGGAGGTGGCATGAGCGGTGTAGAGTTGAGCTTGGCAAGATTAGAGCAATTAAATTTAGTGAGAACACCCTTTAGCTCAATTTCTAACCCATACCCCCGAAAGAATAATTTCAACCAATTAAATGAATTAAAAATGAAAAACATTGATGAAGATCTAAGCAAAAATAAGGGGCTCAGTTACAGATTTTGAAAAAAGGAAATAATTGCATAAGGCATGAAAGTTGAGGAATCTAGTAAAAAATTAACAATATAGAATGATAAAAGTTGATATCATTCAACATAAGCCCTTCCATCCATCCATCACTTTCTTACCATATTAGCAGACTAAATCTTTTATAGAGTAATGCAGTGGCTCAAAAGCCAATCAGAAATAGTTGGGATAAGACCAATCATGATAATAAAGATGATGAGCTTCTTCTATAAATAATAATAATAATAATAATAATAATAAAATGGATAAATACACATGCTTCATAATTTCTAAGAAGTTGAAGCTCGTCAATCAATTTGCGGGTAGATCTCAAGGAAATGATCAACAAATGAAAATTTTTCAATTAAAAAAAAATGAAATCATGATAAATCAATCAAAATTAGTTATCTATAACACAACCAATTAACATCAGATTCAAAATATTAGGTCCTAATTATCAAAAATATATGGTTTTTCAGAGAAGAAACTGCCAAAGAGTTAGGGAATACCTTTGCCTTAATAGTCATGGGTATCTTAAGGCTACGAATAAACCTTTCATCCAGTCCTGAACTTCTCAAAGAAGGAGCTTTCAATGTAGATGAAGAAAGATAGTGCCCCAATGAGATCCTCTCATTAGCAACGTGAAAACTAGAAAGTTGTAGAGCCTCCATGGATACAAGCAACAACTAAATACCATAGTTAGATTAGCATAACAAAAGGTATTTGAATTCTAATAAATGTAAAGAACTACCAGTGGTTCCAAAATGAATGAGCATAAAAAGCTAATATACAGCTATTGGAAGCTTAAATTACTAACAAGGTAAAATTTGACAACTGCGCCAAACTCTTGGTTTTAGTTAATATCAGTGGTTATTCAAATACTCTTAGGCACCCCCTTTATGCAGGTTAAAAGCAATATTCATTAAAAGGCACCTTTAAGCTTTTTGACAAGAGGCTGTGGATGATGTTTTACATAAATGCATACATGCTAAAATTACATGATATAGTCCAATTAATGAGCAAATCAAATTATTCACACTACTAAGTGTTTCTTTGGTAATGTTGAAAGCCATAAATAGCATGCATAGCAAAAATACAACCTATATGTGCAATTTGATAATTCGCCAAGAGATTGGCACATATCGAAACACCCTCAACAAATAAAAGTTGTCAAGTTCACCCAATGCACTCTCAATACTTAAAAATATGAAAAGGAACAATTGCATGCCAAAGCCAAAGTTTCATCAGACTGGTGGAGCTTCCACTACTCTAAAACCCCAACATGCATGTATATTTGCCTAACATAATCAAAATATAAGAATAAGTAATAAAACCACAAAATTTTATTAATATTGCGGATGGAACAAATTAACTTTTGTTAATATGTTAAGTTCCAATATTTCATAGACAATTTCATTAAATAAATCTCAAAATAAAAATCACATAGAGATTTCAACAAACAGTTTGAATGCACCAAGCATATTGCATCTGAAGATTTATGTTCCATATATGTAGACAATCGCGTTTATCTAAGACAAATTAATAAAATAATCATGAAAACTTGAACCAAGATTAAGAAGTCGTTGATTATGAACTTGACACTAGCTTGAACCACCTACAAGTCAGAACCAGCCAAGCCTGCGTTGCCTAAGGCCCCGAGTTGCACAAAATCAAACCTCTAACTAGGCCCTCAACAATCAACATTAAGCTATTAACTCATTTGAGAAACTCACGATGTCACCTATCAGTGAAGGTCATTAGCCGAAAAGAGCTCATCAACTAGCTCAAAGTACTCGCTAGCTGATTAGGGGTTTGTGTTAGAATAACTCATTAAGAAAGTTCTCATTCAATTCAAAACAGCCCAAAATTCCCTTGACTGGTTGTCGACTACAAGCTAACTCATCCGCTGCTTAGCTAGCTACACCAACATAGACTTCACATCTCTACGTAATTTTGTTACATACCAAGTATGGAATAAATAAATCGGTCCTCCTTTATAAATAGAAGGTCATTGGTTGAGTGCAAGCAAAGGGAAAAACATAATGAATCACATGAAATTTGAGAAATTCAATAGAATTCTCAGAAAATATTGCACTTTGAATTGCTACTTGATAACTTAGTTTGACTATCCCTTCTTTGTTCAGATGGATTTCATATCGTAGACCAATATTTCTAAGAGATTTATTTAAACCTAGTCTCTGCCTCGCTCTTTCTCCGGCTCATTAAGCTTGATACATGTCTTGATAAAATATTGGTATTTTCCACGGCAAACTTTGACCTTTAGACAATATAACGCATTTTACATACTTCTCATTACAATTTGGAATCTCTCAACGCAACATCGTATCAATAAGTTCCGAAACTTCCAATAACGAGAAAAACGCATCAGCAAAATTTGTTAGGTTAAGTGGACCGCGATGTCCAAGACCGTCAATGAAGCCTGAAATCCAATCCAGCCGATACGCGGCAGATCCGGCTGCTAGAAGTGACAGCACTGCAGCAATGGTCACTGCAGCTGCTCTTCTAGCGGACGGGAAGGAAGATAGATGAAGCTTACCTCAATGCCTCGATCTGCCAAGTCTGTCGCCGGACGCCGAGGATGAGCAACCAAACGCTTGCCGCAGGAAGAGGCAGGACAAAGTCAAAAACCTAGAAAGAAGATCGATGGATCGGGACGCTTAGTATAACTTTGACTTCCAAAATTTTAGGGCTTCTTCTATCGGAGCTTGAATTCCTTGATTTACTGCGGGCGGAAAGAAGATCATTAAGTGTGAACAGTCCAACTCATAATTTTCCTATGCTAATTTATATTACTTGGTAGTTGGTACTATGAGGCAAGTTGCCACCTTTTTTAAGTTTTTTGACTTCTCAATTTGGTGGCACATCAATTGCTGGCTGCTACCAGTTTTTTTTTTTTTTTCCCAAACATTTAGATCAATTAAAGCAGATTCTTAAACACACGATATACGAGATTCGAACTGATATTTTTTAATCGATAGTCTAAACTCCCAACTAAAAGATTAAAATGACCTGTATGTGGCTGCCGTATGTTCAAATCATGAATTTAAGTTCTCGTGGTTGCCAACCACAAAAAACTTAATAATTATGTCAAAATAGGCTGGGTATTGATATTTTTATATTGATTTAAGAAAAAAATTTGTGCTAAATTTATGTTCTGTATTTTTAGATTATATGTTAGTTAACAATTATGTTTTATAATTTTACGAGAATATAGTTTTTATGACAAGGTTATTCCTTTTCTATTGCATAAAATGCATTAATAAAAATATTATTTTTAATTAAATTTTTTATTATCTTTAAATTATTAGAAATATTTTTTTTGTTAAATCTTTTAATTTCAAAATTCGTAAATTATACTATTGTTGCGTGCTAAAATATTTGTAAAAGATTCATGACATAGATAAAAAATATATATTATAAAAGACACTACAATTTATATGTTGAAAACTAAAGAAGGGACAACTGGCAAAATTTGGCACAATTGAAATTAATTTATTGTGTTTGTTATTGATTATAAATGATGTCTAATACATCATCGAAAATCATCTTGATCAAGCATGAATCTTTCTACATATCTAAATTGGAAAATTCTGAAATTAAATTTGGGACCATCCAAACACTTATTTCAATAAACCTACATTCAAACTAAATGTCTCAATGAGACGAACCCAACGACACCAGAATTGGTCCAATATGAGCTCAAACGGGACCAAATCAAGAGTTCAAAGCATATTTGGACACTTCAAAGCATCAATTGGATGATTAAATTGAAATCTTGGCTGAGCTGCGAGACCTGCACAGTAGAAATCAAACAGAGGAAAACAGAGAAGAAGAGAAGAGAAGTTTTACTGTAGCAGTAGTATTCTATATGTGCCATTCTTCATACAGGAAGTACAAATGTATAGAAAGGCAAAAGGGAACATATCCTGGAGAAGCCGTTCGGCAGCAGGAATATGGCCAACCAAACTGACAACGTTAGTGGTGGTCCAAACACTGATGGAAACATATGTAATGAGTGCTAACAGCCCCCCTCAAGTTGATTGTCCAAAGGTTGGATGGTCAACTTGGTCCGCATTTGCTGAAATCTGGCTGTAGGTAGTGGTTTCGTTAAAATGTCAGCCGGTTGATCAAGAGAGCTGATGTGAAGAACTTGAATTGTAGAAGATCTGATGTGTTCACTGATGAAGTGATAATCAAGTTCAATGTGTTTTGTTCGAGCATGAAAGACAGGGTTATGAGCTAGGGCAATGGCAGATGTGTTGTCACAGTAAATGGGAGTCGGTTCGGGCTGAGGTGCAAGAAATTCATGTAGTAGACGAATGTTTTGAAGGAAGAGCTTACGGGGTGTATTTGGTAGAGGTAACAGTCCCTGTCCTTGGTGTTGAATTGGCAAGGACCTCCCATTGGCAATAGATACGGTGTCTGAGCCAGTGTACACCGATGGTTGCTGAATAGTGTGCGAATCAGCAGTGAGGTGATTTGTTGCACCTGAGTTGAGTATCCATTCGGCAGTTGGATTGTTCTGCGTAAGTAAAGCACGGTTTGGCTCAGAGGTGGTAGGTGAGTATCGATACCAACACGTAACAGCCGTGTGACCAGCCTTGGCACAAATTTGACAGTTGGGACGAGCAGTGTTCGCAACTGAAGGAGATCGAGTGGCATTGTTCTGCTGTTTGGGGCTCTGTCCTCTGCCTCTAGTATTAGAATAACTACCACGTCCTATACTCTGCCTTCCACGGCTAGTGTAAAAAGCTGTGTTATCAGATGTGGGTGCAGCATCTCTCCGAAGTTCATTTTGTATATTTATCTCTTCACTACACAAGAGCGAATACAATGTCTCCAAACTTACGGGAAGCTGAGATGTGCGAATGAAACTTTTAAAAGAACTGTATTGTGCTGGTAGACCATTAAGAATATACATCAGAACATCTTCGGGATCCACATGAGAGCCTGCAGCTGCTATGTTATCAACTAGTGTTTTAACTTGAGCGAGATATTGTGTCATGGTTGAACCCCTCATCTGGATATTGTGTAGCTCATTTTTTAGCTGAATCACGCGTGACCGATTTGATGGCTGAAGTCTGCTCGCCAAGGTAGCCCATATCTCCTGAGCTGTTGAAAGGTGAAGCACATAAGGCAGAACAGATGGAGAGATGGTTGCGAACAATGCTGAGACAAGGTTTTGATCTACAAGTTACCAGAGTTTGTATTCCGGATCTGTGGGTAAACTGCTCGGACAAGCTTGTTTTCCCGAGAGATGTCCGTCAAATCCATTTGCTGCGAAAAGTTTGTGAACCTGCAAGCTCCAAATTGCATAGTTTTCATTTGTGAGCTGAAAGCCGACAATGGTTTTTAGATTAGACATTAAAAATTTTAGAGGAGCAGGTATCATGAACTCCGCCATTGTCGCAGACAGCGAGGATGATGGAGTTGCGACTGGAGACGCTGCTACAGTGATAGCAGGAGGAGCATTGGCTGTAGAGGATGCGTCTTGATTTGCCATTCTATAGCATATGAACCAGAAGCTCTGATACCATGAAATCTTGGCTGAGCTGCGAGACCTGCACAGTAGAAATCAAACAGAGGAAAACAGAGAAGAAGAGAAGAGAAGTTTTACTGTAGCAGTAGTATTCTATATGTGTCGTTCTTCATACAGGAAGTACAAATATATAGAAAGGCAAAAGGGAACATATCCTGGAGAAGCCGTTCGGCAGCAGGAATATGGCCAACCAAACTGACAACGTTAGTGGTGGTCCAAACACTGATGGAAACAGATGTAATGAGTGCTAACAGTGATTAAATGTCTCAATGAGACGAACACAACGACACCAAAATTGGTCCAATATGAGCTCAAACGGGACCAAATCAAGAGTTCAAAGCATATTTGGACACTTCAAAGCATCAATTTGATGATTAAATAATATTCAAATATGGTATGCTTATAGTCGAATCGGGCGGCTCAACGAGGCAAATACAACAAGCCTAAGATCACTTAATTTTGATATGATTAAGACAATTAAAATGTTGCATGAATGCTCTATGATTAAAGGGATCAAAAAGAGACGTTCAATGAAGCACTCCTGATTTGCTCCAGATTTCTCTATTTTTATGAAACATGTCACTCTCAAAATCTATAAATAGACCTCTAGTCTCTACATGAAGGTGACTTTGGAGGAGAAGGCTTGGACCCTGGAATAAATGCTCAAGAGAGCTATGAGGCTTGAAGAATCTCACAGCTCCAACTTGGCATCACCGTCGGCAAACACTCGTCTTCTGGCCATAATTGTTGGACCTTCACAAGACCATCAGAATTAGACCTCAATCTGGCAGCCATTGTCCAGTCTCTGAAAGACCTTTTTCCACCAAGCAATGGTCCCTTCAAGCTATGTTGCACAAGAACGGTCCCTTCAACCTCCGTCGCCCGCCGATTTGGGTCCCTTAGACCTATGTTTCCTGTCAACTAGGATCCTTCCAACCTTCGTTGCCCCCCTATTATGGTATCTACATCCTCTATTTCGAAACAACTATCCCATCAACCTCAATCACCCAACTATGCTCCTCTCTGACCACTATCACCCACCAATTACAAACCCTATGACCTCTGTCCCTAATAATAGTCCCTTCGACCTCAATCGCCCAACTACGATCTCTTCAACCTTCATCGTCCGACTACGATTTGTTTAACCTCTATCGCCTGATAATGGTCCCATCGATCTCAGTAGCCTGACTATATACCATCTAACCTCCATCACTTAGCTACAATTCCTTTGACCTTTGTCACTCAACAAATGTTTCATCGACCTCAGTCACCCGACTGTAGTCTCGGCTATGGTTCTTTCGACCTCTATCACCCGATAATGTTCTTCTTGACCTTAATCGCCTGACTATGATTCCTCTAACCACTATTGCCCACCGACTATAGTTCCTCCAACCTCTATCGTAAGCCAACTATGATTCCTTTGACCTTTATGACACGACAACAGTTACCTCAATCTTACTTGTCTATCATCACTCTATTTTGAGTCCATGAATTAAGACGCTTTAATGCCAAATAAATAAATTATAATCAAAATATTCGATATGAGTCATCCATTGGAGTGCTATAGAAATTTGGCTAGATTTGCTAGAGTGCCCATTCTAAAAAAACCTTAAATAATTCCTATTATGTTCATCAAAGGGAGATAAACTTAAGATTAGAAAAAGGTTGGATATCTAAAGAGCTTTAAAGCTCTACTAGGCATTCAACACTGTAGATTACAACTAGTCATTACATTACCACCTTTGTCAAACAAATGTTGCTATTGAACCACTAACGTGTTCTTATCACCACCATTTGGTATTCATAGTCTATTCTCCATCATCCAATTATGATCTCCAAGCTCAATCATCTAACCATCATCGTTCGGCCATCATCATTGGACTAGGTCATCTAACCATTATTATCCGACAATCATTATTCGACTGCAATTGTCCATCATTTTCACTTTGATACTTCTCTCACAATTTATGCTACAACTACAATTGACAAAGCAAAGTGCTCACAATTTTATAATCTCATCTATTTTTAGTTGGGAAAAAAAGTACTTCTATAACTTCAAATATATCAAAAAAAAAAAAAAAAATGCGGCGTCTAATTGAAATTTAAAATAAAGAAAAAAATAATTTGGACATATGGGAAAGACAAATGTATGAATTTCATGCCTTGCATCAAAACTAATGAAACTTTATGGCTACAAAATCAATAAAGCACGCTATGTTGAATTTTGCCTATAGATCCAAC